CTGTTGGCTGAGGGTCGACAATGACCCAATTGTTGTTGCTACTGTTGGCTGAGGGTCGACAATGACCCAATTGTTGTTGCTACTGTTGGCTGAGGGTCGACAATGACCCAATTGTTGTTGCTACTGTTGTGTTTGTTACCGCTATTGTTGTTATTGTTGTTGTTGCTGTTGCTGCTGCTAAGGCGGTTGCTGCTGTTGCTGTTATTATTGCATTTAAAACATACAAACGTACTATGTCGCTGGAGGTCGCCAGTAATCCAGACTCCTCAAATACAGCGGAAGTCCAGGCAACCGTCTCTAGAGACGCTTCCAGCACTGGCGTGGCCTCGATCATGTCAGCTGCGACCGAACAGCTCGACTCCAGCATCGTAACGGTTGTCGCTGTTGCTGTTGCTGTCGTCGTTGCTGTTTCAGTGGTTGTTTCGGTGGTAGTTTCCGTCGTTGTCAGCACGGGGAGGTCACTGTTTAGCGGAAAACTGGAGCAGGATGGAGTGATCAGACAGGAGGTCAAAGTGCAGTCGGTCACACTGTGTATGACGGGGTAAGACGAGGTCAAGGTCACCGTATGTGACCTCGGGCACGGGGTCACGCGACTGGTTGACCTTGGGGAGCAGCTGACAGGGGACGCTTCCATCACTGTGGTCGTCTGGGTGACGGTGGTAGGTTGGATGCTGAGAAGAAAGTATGAGGGTAATAATGGTACATGTAAAAGTAAAGTTTAGCCTCCTGTGTCTTTGCGCAGACGGGTATTTTTTCTCATAGAAAGCAAGACAAATGAACAAGCCTTATGATGATATCAATAACTATTGAATAACTCTAAGTACACAAAATTGACGAGCGCCCGATTCCACTGCGTAGTGACTCAAATGGTTTTTTGGTGTGTTTTTTTTTTTTTATAGTAGAGGGTTTTACGGCGCTCGCAACTGCATAAGGTCATTCAAATTGTTTGAATGGGGCCGTAAAACATCTGAGTGTACAAGTCGTCGCTGTACGCATCTATGTATATAAATATGTCAGGGAGTACTATACAGATACAGTACTCCTTGAAATATGTATATATATCGCGACCCCAGAATTACCAAGTTCTATCTGCTCAGTAGATTTACCTAGCTTAGAGAAATTTGACGTCAAAAATTTGAATTTGAATTTGGCGTCGGTGGCCTAGTGGCTAGGCCCTCGGACTCGCAACCGTAAGTTCGCGGGTTCGAATCCCGTCAGGGGCCCGACGTTGTGTCCTTGGGAAAGGCACTTTACA